GAAGCGAGTCACGGCAGCTAACAGGAGCAAAAGGCTAACGGCAAAGTTCTCCGCGGAAGGGAGGTTGTTGATATTGTATGAAAAAGATCAGGCGATTAGCTAACTAGAGAAGGAAGATAATTGCTAAGAAGTGGAAAAGTTAGGGGAAAAAATGAAAAATGCAATTATTTTTGTTGAGCTTCACAACGCAGAGGCAGCATCCAGCGAGGAAGCAGCAAGGAAAGACTAGATTAAACTAGACTAGAGTATAGTAATAGTATAGTAACAGTATAATAGTAATTGTATAGTATAGTAACAGTAATAGTATAATAGTAATAGTATATTATAGTAATAGTATCATAATAGTATAATAATAGTATAGTATCAGAAAGGTATGAAGTGGAATGGAATAGACTAGACGACTAGAATAGAACAGAATTTATAATAATAGACTGGAATAGAGAATAGAATGCAGACTGGAACAGACCAGAATAGAATAGAATAGAATAGAATAGAATAGAATAGAATAGAATAGAATAGAATATAGAACAAAACAGAACAGAATAGAATAGAATAAAAAGAATGGGAAGGGACCTTAGAGGTCTTCTAGTCCAACCCCTGATTAGGCAAGAAACCCTAAACCAGTGATGGCTAATTTTTTCGACACCGTGTCCAAAGAGCACACACACACACACACACCCAAAATGCGTGCGTGTCTCCCATGCATGTGTGTGCGCTCCTGTGCATGCACCCCCCCTCCACATGCACCTCGCACATGTGTAGCAGAGATCCAAAGACCAGCTGGCATGCTTGGCAGAGCCGAGCTGAGGCAACAGCTCGCATGCCCACAAAGGGCTCTGCGTGCCACCTCTGGCACGCCTGCCATAGCTTTGCCATCATGGCCCTCCACCACTTCAGACAAATAGGTTGTCCAATCTCTTCTTAAAAACTTCCAGTGTTTGAGAATTCACAACTCCTGGTGGCCAGCTGTTCCACTGGTGAACTGTCCTCACTGTCAGGAAATTTCTCCTTGGTTCCAGGTTGCTTCTCTCCTTGATCGGTTTCCATCCATTGGAAGGGGCTTTGGAGAATAGCTTGACCGATAAAAGGTTCATGTGCTGGTCAGCCATGTAGAATACAGGTAGTCTGTCAGGATTCCGGCAGTGGCCCTCATTTAAATCCTGAGTCTCGAGCCAAACTTCTAAAACTTCAAAAATATTTATTGGGAATTAATATGTCCAGCACTGCCTGGGTGCAGCCGACTCTGAGACACGTAATCCACTGTCACCCTTGACCCTGGTTTTCCCCCCCACCCCTCTGGGCGTATCATCATTCATATCCTCCAATGGGACACCTTCATAGCCCAGAGTCATCAATCATGTTCTCCAGTTAGAATTTTGCGCAGCAGAAACTTCGGTCACCTAGTTACTATCTTTGAAAAAAAACATTTATGGAATGCACTTTCGGTTTGCAAGCTGCCGTACTGCTCCCCCATCCCTTTCCGTTGGCCACTCTAAAAAGACCAGAGAAATATTTTATGAGTTGACATAGTCCCCAACTTACAGCGGAGCCCAAAATTTCTGTTAAGTGGGACGTTTTAAATGAGTTTTGCCCCATTTTACACCCTTTCCTGCCACAGTTGTTAAGTGAATCGCGGCAGTTGATCGGTTAGTCGGCCGGTTGTTAAGTGAACCTGGCTTCCCTCTTAACTTTGCTGGTCGGAAGGTCGCAAAAGGTAACCTCTGGAATGGTCATAAATACAAACCACTTGCCAAGCATCTGAATTTTGACCCTATGACCATGAGGAAAGCTGTAACGGTCATAAGTGTGAAAAATGGTCCTAAGTCGCATTTTTCAGTGCCATTGTCACATTGAGCGGTCGTTAAATGAACCTGTAAGTCGAGGACTACCAGGAATTTTTAAATCCCCCACTAGTCTTTTAATGATTTATGTATTGAGACTACAACTCCCAGGTGACTTAATCTGAAAAGGGTTGGCCTTGGGCAGGGTTCAGCAGGGGCAGGCTGGGGAATTCTGGGAGTTGAAGTCCACCCATCTTAAAGCTGCTCAGTTGGGAAACCTTAGCTTTGAGCTTAGAGAAAATGGTGGTTTCCTTTCAAAGAATATAAGGGCCTTTAGAGATCATCCAGTCCTACACCCTGCCTAGTGCAAGAGACTCCATTTGGAGCAGCAGCCCCAGTTACGGATCGGTGACTAGCATCTATTATTTGTGAACAAATTCTTGCTACAAAAGTTCTTTGGTTATTTGAAAACAACTATCTGGTCAGTAGTAGATAGCCTGGCTGGTAGTCAAAACAAAACGCTTTCTCCTGGGAACCAAGGTCATCCCCCCACCCCCAGGTAGCAGTTGGAGGAGAAGAGGAATGACCAAAGGAACCCGCCAAACACCTTAATTGGACAATGTGACCTGTGCCTTTTGGGGGGGCGGGGGGGAAACAATTGTTCTTTTAATTATGCGACAAACCTGGGAAAATATTCAGAGTTGGCTTCCACTAGCTGTGCCGATATGATGCGCTCAATAAACATGTTCTTTGAGGAATCAGCTCGCCTCGGAGTTCTGCTTCCAATTGGTACATTGCTCGGAGCGCTGACAATGTCTGCAAGAAAACCACCAAGCTCAGAGATCACCAAGGACCTCCAGTCTTCCTCCTCCTCCTCTTCCTCCTCCTCCTCCCTTCTACTTCTGATGATGTTGCCTAGTTGGGTCATGAAATGTCTGCAAGAAAACCACCCAGCTCAGAGAGCACCAAGGACCCCTCAGTCCTCCTCCTCCTCCTCCTCCTCTTTTCCTGATGATGTGACCTAGTTGGATAATGACACCACTGCAAGAAAGCATCCAAGCTCAAAACTGCCTCTTCCCCACTATGGTTGTTCTCTCTTTAAATTAATTGGCCAGCGCCAATCAAGTAAATTATGAGGTTGCCTTCTTCCTAGAGTCCACCGAGGTGGAAAACAGCTCAAGCTATTCCCTGATGCTGGTTGCCAAGGGAGGTAACCCCAGCAGTTGAGTCTTCTCTTGTGCAAACATATAACAACAGCACCTCGCACTGCTTAAGTCTCCTGGGATACGTGTCCCGGTGGGGGAGTGGAAGGCAAGGCTTTAATCACAGGAAACGGGCTTGAGAAGGAGGGACGGCAGGCATTGCACTAAGAATTATTTACATACTTATTTGTTTTCTTGCTGCCCATCTCGCCAGGAGGCGATTCTGGGCAGCTTACAGTGTTAAAAACCATCCATCATCTATCTGCCCATTTGTCTATCTGATCTACCTATCTAGCTATCCATCCATCCTGTTGTCTACCTATTTACCTACCTACCTCTGTCTATATATTCCTATCTATTCATCTCTATATTATTTGTCTATGTCTGTCTGTCTATCTGTGTATCTCTGTATCAGTATCTATCATCTACCTACCTACCTATCATCTATCTATAGATAGATCTACCTCCAATCTACCTACTTAATTATCTCTGCCTGTCTGTATCAGTATCTACCCATCTACCTACCTTCCTATTATCTATATCCATCCATCTATCATCTATCTACCTATTATCTCTATCCTATCTATCTATCATCTATCTATCTATCTATCTATCTATCTATCTATCTATCTATCATCTATCTATCTATCTATCTATCTATCTATCTATCTCTATCATCCCTCTCTTTCTCTCACTTCATATCTATCTATCTATCTATCTATCTATCTATCTATCTATCTATCTATCTATCTATCTATCTATCTATCCATCCATCCATCCGATCTACTTACCTACCTACCCATCCAGCTACCTACCTACCTATCTATTCTCTCTCCCTCCACCCCTATTCTGCACTACTAATACTATTAACCTTCTCATCACTCCTTATTGCCCATCCCCTCCCACTTGTGACTGTATGACTGTAACTTTGTCGCTTGTATCCTTATGATTTATATTGACTGTTTCCTAGTATGATTTGATTGCTTATTATTCCCTATGACTATCATTAAGTGTTGTACCTGATGATTCGTGACTCTTGACAAAAGTAACTTTTCTTTTATGTACACTGAGAGTATTTGCACTAAGACAAATTCCTTGTGTGTTCAATCACACTTGGCCAATAAAGAATTCTATTCTATTCTATTCTATTCTATTCTATTCTATTCTATTCTATTCTATTCTATTCTATTCTATCATCTTTCTATTTAACTGATTTTATATCCATCCATCCATCTATCCATCCATCTTACCTATGTAATTCTTTCTTCTTTCTTTGTTTATTAAATTTATTCGCCATCTCGCGTTTCTGCTATTCTGAGCGGCTCACAATAAAATGATGGTATTAAAAAAAGATTAAAGATTGGGAGATAATAAATGCATGAATTACTGAATACCTTTTCCCAGTTAAGACCCTCTGCTCCAGGGACCGATGGTTCACCTAACAACATAGCAAACCCTCCCGCCCATTTCATTTTACAACGCGGAAAAAGAATCTGTATCATTATCTAAGCTATTGAATCAAACTTGACAACTTTGAGACTTGTGGACTTCAACTCCCAGAATTCCCAAGCCAGCGTGGCTGACTGAGGAATTTTGGGAGTTGAAGTCCATAAGTCTTCAAGTTGCCAAGTTTGGAGACCTCTGTTATGAAATGGTGTTGAGAATAACAATCAGCCCAAAGAACCCAGCAAAAGACGCCTATCTCCATGCCGTTCGCTTGCATTAAGCACGAACACGCGAATACACCCCCATGCACACGTGTAAGGGCGGACACGGGTTAAGCGACGTCTCCGACCCGCAGACTTCCTTAAGATTATTCATCACAAAGCAAAAAAAAAAAACCGAAACAGACCCCGGAGGACTTTTTCGTCCACCGCCGAAAGGGGGCAGTGCGGAGATTTAGGAGGGCGTTCTGCGCCTCGCTTTTTCCTTTTCGATGGTTCTCGCCTCCTCTCTTCTCGCGGACGGCTCCTCGTTGTTCGGAAGCGAAGGCGAGGGGGCGCTCTACCCTGGTCGCTCTATGGCCGAGCGCTCTGCCGGTTTGCGTCGGGGAGGGCTGACGTTGGTCAATAAAAATGGCGGCGGCGGCGGCGGTGGCGGGGAGCAGCAACTATTGGGAGGGTGAGTGGGGGACGCGGCGGGGAGGGGGCCACACTCCAGGGGAAGGGGCGTCCGCTTTGACACCCCCCCTCCCCAGAGCTGGAAGCCGAGAGCCCAACCGTCCAGCCCCGCCCCGAGCTGGACTACAACTCCCATCATCCCCAACCCAGCAGGGCCAATGTTTGGCGGTGCGGGGGGGGGGGGGGCAACCCGGCCCCCCCCGCCCCCGGGGGAAAAAAAAAAAAATATAAATAAAAATATTAAATATAAATATATATATAGTAACACACAACCCCGGGAAGGCGGAGGGTTATGTGATCCCTCTGCGGATTGAGGATGATGGAATTCAGGCCGGGGGGGGTTGCCTCTCGAGAGCGTCTGGCCGAGCCCAGAAACCGGGGAATGGGAGATGGGGGTGGAGCGGTTGAAAAAGCCCCCACCCAACCCTAAATCCTCTGGGGGAGGGGTGTCAAAGGTAGATAAACAGATAATCAGAGTTGGAAGGGAGCTTGCAGGTCATCTAGTCCAACCCCCTCCCACCACCCAAGCAGGAGACCCTACACCATTTCTGAGAGAGGGCAGTCCGGTCTCTTCTTGAAAGAGCCTCTTGAGGTGAAGCTCCCACAACTTCCAGAGGCAACTTCTTTTCCACTGAATATAGATTAACAGAGTTGAAAGGGACCTTGTAGGTCATCTAGCCCAACCCCCTGCCCAAGCAGGAGAGCCCACACCGTTTCTGACAGATGTCTTCTTGAAAGTCTCAAGTGATGGCGCTCCCCACAACTTCCGAGAGAGACAGGAGGGTCGTTGCAGGGCAAATATCTGGGCTCTTTTGGGGTGGGGAAGCGGGGGGTGTCTTTGGGCTGGGAGGGGGGTCTCCAGAAGTGCCTGGCTGAAGTTGGGCGACTGCCTGAGGGATCAACAGCGTCAGCTCCCACCTTAAGAGCGGGAAAACAACAACAACAACAACTGGGAGCTCTGAGATAGACTGCTCCTAGACAGGGAGGCTCTTTTTTTCAGCTTGCAAGAGGCAGCCTGGGGAAACTTGTCCTGCAAGAATTGTGGAAGAACCATGCCCGTGCTTGGGGAGCAGGAGAGAGAGAAAGACCCTCTGGAAGATTTCCGTAAGGAATTGAGCCAGGGAGGGGGAATCTGGGGGTGCAAAAAAAAAGAAAAAGGAAAAAAAAGGACCGATCGGACGGAGCCAAGAACTTGTTTCGTAGGGGGCGAAGTGCAAGGTTGACTTGACACCTGGGTGTTTCTCAACCTTGGTACTTTTATGATAGGTGGATGTCAACTCCCAACAGTTCCCCAGTCATCAACGCCCATGCATCTGAAAGCATGCTTACTGGGGAATTCTGGGAGTTTCTGGGGGTAGAAACCCACCCCTTTTTGAATGCAGGCTGGGGGATTCTGGGCATTGAAGCCCACCCCTCTTCAAGCAGGCTGGCTGAGGAATTCTGGGAGTGGAAGTCCTCCCCTCTTAAAGCATCCTGGCTGGGGGATTCTGGGAGCGGAAGCCCTCCCCTCTTAAAGCAGGCTGGCTGGGGTATTCTGGGAGTGGAAGTCCTCCCCTCTTAAAGCATACAGGCTGGGGGATTCTGGGAGTGGAAGTCCTCCCCTCTTAAAGCAGGCTGGCT